TCGGCCATGGGCTACTACTCGCAGGTGTTTGGCCGCCGCTTTAGCATCCTCGCGTGTGTCGTCGGCGCAGCTTGCGTTCTGTACCCGTACTGCTTCTCGACGGGTCATGGCATCATCGGCGCCGCCTTCTTCATGCAGTTCTTTGTCATGGGCGCATGGGGTGTGATCCCGATCCACCTCATGGAGCTCGCGCCGCCGTCGTACTCGACGTTCATCGTCGGCACCTCGTATCAGCTCGGTAACCTCATCTCGGCGACCGCGTCGACGATCGAGGCGTCGCTCAGCGAAGTGTACCCGCTGCCAGCGACAGAAGCCGGCGTGGAGCGTTTTGACTATGCCAAGGTGATTGCACTCTTGTTGGCGATCGTGCTCGGGTCGTTGGCGCTGCTGACGTTCATCGGGCCCGAGAAGCGCGGCCAAGAGTTTGATCACGACGAGACCCTCGACGGCCCGATCGTGGACGACGACGACGGTGACGTTGAAAAGCCCAAGTTGTAGAGAAAGGGGCGAGCCTGTAGGGGTATATGTGAAATGAATTCGAGTATTGTGTGATAATATTTGGCAAGTGCAAAGTGGGCAAGATATGTGCAATGTGGCACCACGTGGACGTCACGCAGTTCGCGGCTAAAACTCGACAACCATCTGGCCTTGACAATGGATGCAACTTCCACACTTTTGTCACGAAAGCCAATCGAATCGATTCCAGTTACGAGGGCTGGGACCATAGCCAGAACTACACTCTTTGATTGCAGTTGGTTGGCGCTATTTATGCTGTAAAGAGTATTCCAATATATCGCCAGACATTTCTAGCACAAAGTTGGCTCCACCAACCAATTGCAACACCCCTGTTGTAGAGGGATCAAGCGAGTGGTGAGGATGGTGTGTAGAGTACAATTGGATAGATCCACTATGTCGCGCGCTGTTGCGATACTCGAGTGGAATAGCCTGGTCTTGAAATTGAAGGGTGTCGATTATCGAAAAAATGACTGCTCGGTGAATGGCATTTCCACTGTGGAGCGACAACGTTAAAGGTCAATGAAAACCAAAGAAGACGACGCTCAAATGACAGACGGCGTCGCACGGTGACATGTGTTGTTGCTAAACTGAGTTATTACATGCGATTATAAAGATATGTGGACTTCCGAATGCGCTCGTGAGGCCTGGCCGGTGCTTCAGCGAGGAGCGTTATTGGTCGTGATTTGAGATTGTGCGAGGGACCAGGTAGCGTGCACACCAAGGGTCGTCGCGGAGAGCGGCCAGCGACGCGTCAAGAGATCACAGCGCGACGAGCCAAGTGCCGGACGTGCAGTCGTGCGATAGTAGCTACCCGGAGCGCGAGCGCGGCAGCGGGAAGTTGCGTCAGCGTCGAGCGGAAGACACGGTTGTTGCGTTCGAGCCAAAGAAAATACCAGACGCAAGCGCGTAAGATCGGTCAGAGGGCACGAATAGAGGACTTGTGGGCCGAGTACGGCGCGGCGACATCGTCGTAGAGAAAGGCAGCGACTGACGACGGGAGTTGCATCTGCAAAATGTATATCCCGCATCGGTGCAAAAGCGCGCCAGATCGCTCGGACGTATGGGCACCACACCAAAAGATGGTCGTACGTTTCGCAGGTTTGCGCATCGCAGAGAAGTCAGTGTCGAGCATCGTGGCCGAGAAAGTGCAAGCTGGCTCGGACGGCCACGGCTTTCAGCGCGACCTGGTACACGAAGTCACCGTATGGCGGAAGGACGTGGGCTGGCTGCCGTAGAGGTACAAATGAGGCCGCTCGGCCCGGGTGCTCGTAGAAGGTCGCGGGGACGCCAAGGTGTTGCACTGGAAGCACACGCCAGTCAAATGTCGGTCGCTGTCGTAAGCCGGTCAGTCGGACGCCCATAGTCGAGGCAAGGACGACGCGGGGTCCAAACTTGACGAGACATGGTGGGGCAAGCGCACATCATGATCGGCAGGCGAGATGAGCTGAACGATATCGAACAAGAGCGGTCGCAAGCAGGCGGATCTAACGGCGGGTTGGCTGCAGCGCTGGAAAAAGTCCTGGTAGTTGTTCTTCGAGGTCGGCGACCGTGTATCCAAGGGCTTGGATGCTGTCTACGTGCGTGTTACCTTGAGCGACAAGTGTCTCAATGTGCGAGTCGTGATATTTCGCGAGCCACTTGAGCACGATAACATGTGTACACAGCTTGACGTCCCCGCAGTACTATCGTCCGCACATTTTAAAGCCAGACCGTTGTTCTAATCTCGTAATACCATTTTTGTGCTCACACCATCAAGCGTCGTTGGGTGCCTTCGTGGCCTCT